CGAGCGAGAAGGGCCGTGGTCTAGAGTAAAGTGCCCTTTAAATTCTAGTGTTCGCGAAACTGAAGGTTGTGCTGACTTGTGCTAGCCTAGAGCAACTCAGATATATAATTATATATTGTTTGGTTGACTTATACGAATATAAATCTTACTTTTCTTCTTTTCTGCCTAAAATCGTTTTTTTCGTTTTATTCCTTTCATGATTATTTTTCGAAGATAATACTTTAGCACAATGTTAGCACAACTTAGCACAACCTAGCACAATAAAAAAAATTTCGAAAATCAAAAAGTGGGGGGCTACCAAAAAAAACGGTTTTTTTCATTTTTCTCGCTCATTTTTCGTATTAAAAATTTATAATTCGAGCACAATGTAGCACAAACCTAGCACAAATCAGCACAACTGTCAAAATTAATAAATTCGAAAAGTGGGGGGCTAACTTCATACAGGCAGAAAATTATGAAATTAGGACAAAAGACAAAAGATTGGCGAAAAGAATGGCGTATATAGTTTAAAATTGTTTTTAACAAAAATAAAATGCATTTAAATTTAATTTAAAAACCCTCACGCACAAACTTAATGACTCTAATATAATATATTATAATGTTATATATATATATCTGTGTGTGTGTGTGTGTGTGTGTGTGTAATGGAACCTAATATAAGTAATTATATAATTGAAACAAAGTCGTCACTAACCGAGTCACCACTAAAAGTGACTTATTTCGGGCCCTTTAAGGGGAACGTTGACCATTTTCCTAAATGTTTAGTCAAATAAAAATGCTACCAAAGCATTCAACGACCCAAAAATCATAAAAGAATTTATGTTACTCTTTTTAGATCATCGATTTTTATTTTCGCGTAATAGGAAGATAGAGAGAAAATTTGAGTACTCACACGTTTACCAACATGGGGTACGATTTCTTCTCATCGAAATCTGGCGGCAACAACAACCTGACTCTAACGTTATAGCCATTGACGGTGACGTTGAAATCTTTTTGCAGCGGCATCAGTCGATACGACAGCATGCTCCTTGTGAGCCAGTTATCTTCCCAAGTCATCATTCGCCGATGGTCCGCGTCCACGTCGTGAACGCGCACCGTGAGGAGATCGGGACCGGTACAGATGAGAGCGTAATGCGACATGTAGCTTGAAAAGGATGCGGTCGCGTAGTTGCACTTGTTCCCTGCAACATGCAAATCGTTGGAGCTTGAGAACACGCGACGGCCGTAAAGCACACTCACGACCGCGTTGAGATTTATTCGTTCGCGCCTCCTCGTATTTCCTCGCGCGCCTGCCGAGATTGGCCTCGTGTTTAGCAATTTTCACTTTCATTTTCGGATGTGTACATACGTAATGCCAGGGCATACTTTCACGTGAAATGCGCCCTGCCGGCGCGCATATTGCTAACCCCGAGTCGGGAAACGGGAAGCATAAATTCGTGTACTTCCTACTTCTCGCAGGTCGAAATAAATTCCGGCTAACGTCATATTTTAACGGATATAGGCTGCACCCGGCACCGTCGAATCGACCGAGCATATCGGATCCCTAGACGTAGATTTTTTCGGCACGAATAGTTGGACGAATTAATCTTCCTCGGGGGGCGCAGCTGCCACCCGATAGTCGGAAAAACTCGCGCGAGAGAAGTAATATTTCAGTCTTGCTCTTTATGTGCCTTCGACGTTGCGCATTAAGTCGATTCTCCCGAATCTTCTTGCATAGCAACGAGGAGATAAGTTCGCGCGCGAAGTTTAGGGCGCGGAAAAAATTTGAATATTCTTATTTGAATTCAGTGGGACTCTGTGCATCTCGCGCGCGCGCCCGTGACGTCCTGCAAAAATACGAGGGGCAGAAAATTGCGTCGATTTTCGAGTGAGCGTCCCGTAGATCACGTCATCCCGCTCGTGATTCCAAGTTTCTCGCAAATTTTCCCGCGAGTTTCCCCGCCAGCGCCATGCATACACGATTAGTATCATTATGGTTTTTGCTTCTTATGACGTAGCACAACGTGTACTACATACATATAGTGCACTTTGAATATTCGCGAACAGAGACTCGCGAGCAGAGGCTGTTCTCATCAGACACGTTTACTCCCTCCAGATCTTCCGTTTTAATTAAAATTTATACATATTGCCTACGGACGAGTCGCGAATTGACTCTGAAATTTTGCCGCTTCCTACCACCGCTCATAGACACGGAGAAAACAATTTGATTGTATTAACGTGAAATTTTTGGTTTTAATAAAGAAACCGTTTTGGTTGAAGGACACAGAATTTTTGGTTCTTACACTGAGAATGAAATGTTTGGTATTTGTAACTATAATCATATAGAGAAACAATTACTATAAATTGTGGTTAGGAAAACTATCTCTTATTAAATTGTACTAAAATGTTAGTGATAATAAACTTATATGCATGTTATTATTACCATTTTTGTGTTAGAACAATCAAATAAAGTATAGTTGAGGTTAAAAATAATTATAATTTCAATTAGATTAACCAATTTCTCGTCTCAATGTATAATCTAAATTTGACCCTGAAAACCAGAAATCCCGTTTTCTTCAACCAAACCAGTTCGTTAGTTCGCTTATCACAAGCACACACAGATTTCATGTGAATGCAACTAAACTTTTTTCCTCGTGCTTGATCTACAATGTGTTCTTTGCTTTCTGTTTCTTATTTTCTGTCTTTTTCTGACTTAAAATTTGAGTCAAAAAAAAGGTAAATAAAAAGAAACAGGAAACAAAGGGCACATTGTATTTAAATGTCACCGTTGTCTCGTGTTACCGGCTGCCTCATTCGTCAGGTGCACAGGAATTTTGATAATCGAACGGTCGGACATTATGAGTCGAGAAGTTTTCGTGCGCATAAGTATAAAATATTTCTACGAGACGTCGTGCTTTAAATAGAATATTCCAACGTCGCACGTTCTCGCGAGATAGGGTTACCGTGCTTGCGCGCAATGTAAGCTCGTCATAGCGGACTGATGAAAAGTGCCAGACGCCATCCCCCACATCCCCTCTCTCCTTCTCTCTCTCTCTCTCTCTCTCTCGCTCTCTCTTCTCTTTTCCCCCTTTCCGCACGTATTCGCGATGCTCGTGATTTCGAGGACTCACCTTCCGGCGTAAGCTGCTCGCAGGATATGCAAGTCGGGTTCTGGCTCACGTCCAGGGGCACCGAATACAAATTCCTCTGAGTTGGCTTACCGGGCGCCGTGGCAAGGTAGTAAACTCTGCCTCTGTTAGCATCGACGGCCAGGATCGAGTGCACCTCGGAGGGACCGGGTGTGAGATCCACGGGTGAAGTAAACTGGCCGCCGTCGTGCTCATATCTGAAGATATGACGCGAACGAGATTAGAGGAAAAGGATGATGGCACGAAGAATTTCGAATAAACTTTCGCTGTATTTGGCAGAGTTATCGACGCCGTGCTTTCCCAACTCGAAATTTTAATCCTATTTTCAACCTCAATATTCCACTTAGACTAACGTCCAAGTAGACTAACGTCTACTTCGATACACTGTATCTCTATCTATATCTCTGTTGATTCCATATTTAATCTGCTAGCTTTTTACTGAGAGGTTCTCTTTACTAGGAAACAAATTTTGGTATTTATAATTACAATTACACAGAGAAATGATTGTTATAAATTATGTGAAGGAAACTTTCAAATTTTTTCATTTAATTTTACTATAACATTAGTGAACCTTATGTGCATGTTACTACTAACATTTTACTAGAAGAAATATGGTAGAAGCAAAAAATAATTTTAATTTTAATTAAATCAGTCATTTTTTTCTCTCAATGTAGAACTTGCAAGTGGTACTTTGTGTAAGGCAATAGTGAATTTTTCCAGTACATTATGCTTTTTTAGTTCCGTAAAAATTGTTATAATTGGCTGGAATGTTTTGCCTCACCCACACACATATACCACATATTCATCTGACATTGCCCCTCCGATTATCATTTGTTTCGCTCATTACAGAACTCCCTTGACGGTATAAGTTTCGCTTCTTTAGGGAATTGGAATATTTCTCTTGGAACATTGTCAATTAAAATTGTTTTTAACCAAAATGAAATGCATTTCAATTTTGCTTAAAAACCGCACAAACTTTATGGATCAACCCAATATATAGAAAGTTCAAGTCTCCAAAGTAAAACCAGAATTTTGACGCAGACCTTTCCGCGAAATCGCCCCGGAGATGCTTGATTCCGCAGTGCAATCGAACAACGAGACGATTTTCAAAGGGACAATTCTCCGAATTCGCGCGGATAGATTTTCCCGCAAGTTGTCCGACTCTCACCTCACTATGTGTCGGAATCTACCGGCACTGGTGCCTGAATCCTCCCGACGTAAGAGCAACGCGTAATTGCCGACCTTTGTAGGGCTGTTTGGTTGAAGCCAGCCTTCCCTTTCCTCGTCATACCAGATAAGTTTACCGGTACCTTGCGTATCGTAAATGACCAGCTGGGATTGATTCTGTACGCGGTTCGTCCACGTCGCAGCTATATGCGTCTGGTTCCACCAGCTCACGGTGTACAGGATGTGGTCGCTGCGAAGGGAAATCGAGTGGAGATACGTTAATGCGACGAATTATCTAAGACCCTTATTCGGAGATCTCCTTGATTGATAAAAGTGTTTCTAAGTGTCTCTAAATGGCTTATAAGTCTTATATTTGGCTTGAAAGCACATTGATGCTTATTTCTATTAAACATCGATTAAATCTTCATTTGAGTTTGAACTCTCTTCGGACAAAGACTTAAACTCAGATTAAGATTTAATTGACATCCGTAGAAACAGGCATTAGAGACGCTTTTATCGACAAAAGAGAGGTCAGAGTAAGCGCCCGAGAACTCGCGATACTACGATGAAGTTCGCGTTAACGATAAACGAAAATTCTTGTGGAAACTTGCCTGCCGACTACATCGATGGGCGCTTTTAACGTGACCGCTTCTGACGAATCGGCTAAATCGATCACCGACAGAGACACTATCGGATTCGGCGTGCCCGCCTGCGAAATTCATACGAGAGATGACAGATTAACGGAGTATTGTAAATTATACGATATCGTGAGCCACAGAAGACAATATTCCGATAACGCGTGATTGAATAATTAGATGTCGCCGGAATTAATCGTTCGTAACTTTGACATAATGATAGCGTTTAAACTTCGGGAATTATCTCCCCGGATTAAGAACTAAAAATACAAAAGACCACCTCGGTTTGTCGAGAGACAGGAACAGAAAGACAAACAGAGAGAGAGAAGAGAAAGAGGGGGGGAGAGGGAGAGGTGGTTTCTAACAAAAAAGCGGGAAATAGTCGCGGCTTTTCCTACGGAAGGTCGCTCTTGCGCCGCCGGTGCACTTCGACAATTGGATTATTCGCACGTGTCGACACGACACGCGAGGAAAATGGAGATCCACGGTAGAGTAAGCCCGAGTTAAACGGGAGAACGACAGTCTTTTTCAACGTTGTCGCTACAGTAACCGATTCCGTTGAGTAGCCGCGCGATCACAGCCGCGTGTCGCACGTAATACCGTCCAAAATATCTATTATATTTATACCGAGTGTCCAAATTTAGAAGCTCAGTCTGGGAATCGAGATCTCTCTATTTTTCTCTCTCTGTCTCTCTTTCTTCTCTCCTCTTCTCCCCTCCTCTCTCTCACTCTCTCTCTCTCTCTCTCTCTGTCTTACCTTGGGATACTTGAGCTTCACTTGTATGGGATATTGGTTCCTGAGAGAGCCGGGCGTGCCGTAATGAGAATACTCCATGTCCATCACGCGAGTGTCGTTGAAGGTCGCGAAGGCCAGATATCGTCCATCCGGCGAATACCATATCGCGGTCGGAGAAGCAAATACTTCCTCTGCGATCAACATATTCGCGATTACGTTCGCTTGCTCAACATGGACGTGGTGTATTACGCGACGTGTCTTTCCTGTGGTCTTGAGAGCGCTTTGTTCATCTACTCATTCGAGATGCCTTTACCTTCGTACACCCAGTCGGGAATTCCGTTGAACACGACCCCGGCTTTGCCGCTGCTTGTCAGTCTTCGCACCTCGCTCTCTCTGTCCTTGAAGTTCATGTGATAAATGTCATTATTACGAACGTAGATCAGCTCGTTGCCGATCGGCGACCACATCGCCAATGAGATACGGGTTCCGTTCGCGACCTTCTCGAATGTCCTGCAAAATGGTAAAATGTCACGTCGAAATTGTTTATTAATTAATTCGGAATAATTAATTCGGATGAAAAATTCGATATTTCGCGACGCTACTCCTCCGTAAAGGTTAGTGCGGAAATAGTGGAATATTTATTTATGTCTTTTCGATAAAGATGCGATAGCTATAGCGTAAAATTCGGGTAATTATTTATCGTATCGTGCCACGTGACAGTCGGCGATTGCCGAGTTGCCTGTGACAGATCTGAAAGCAATTTATGTTACGAAATAATGACTTAATCGTGTCTGTCGTGTTGTTCGAATTACTACACGCCGCGCATCCTTTCGCAATCAAACTTATCGCAGTCGTTAATGTTATCGACCGCGTAAACGCGCCGTAAAAAAGTAAACAAATAAATTTACCCCCGTTTCACGTTGTGCACTACACAATTCTTGAGAGTAGAGTGCCTGAAAACCTGTAAAAAAATTCACTTTCACGCTCGTATTTGCATCGAGCAAAAGTTCTTATGATTCTTCTTACTATTTGAATCACTCACACGTTTGATGTTGTAACTAAAAAGAACATTCTCTTTGCTGGCCGATAAACTTGCTGTGCTGTATTTATATTCCATCTGAAACAGATTTCCAACGAGTCGGTGTGTCTATCAAAAATATCGGTTACGTGGATTAGAGACTGTCAGGTCGCCTGGGTATCGATTTTATTCCGCGAAATATCGAAATGACATTTGCTGTGTAAATTGTGGTTCGCCTCGAAAATGTCGAGAGGGTAAAATATCTCTTTGTAAAATGACACGTTGACACGACTCGTAAAGTTAAGGCTTTATCTGCTATCAGCGATTTCTCCATGATAGAACGAAGTGTCGCTCGCTGATCGAAGGCGGTTTAAATTAATATCCATATCTCGCGATAAATCGCACACAGGCGCCCGCGCCACGTGCATCCTCACCGGCAAAGTCGTTCCGTTGAATATCGTTGTCTTCTCCCCAGTCACCACATTGTGACTGGTGATATCGTTCTTAATCGGGTCCACAACCATTATCTCATTGTCGGACATCCACGTGCCATTCAAGCTGGACGGTGCGTAAAGGTATAAATAAATCTCCTCCAGAGAGAACGGTTTTTTCCCGCCGGGATCCTCGTAAATAGGAACATCGATGCTCCCGACGCTCTCCTCGACACGCGAAACTGTGCAGATAGATTCAACGCGAAAGATGTAAATGCGATCCAAATCGAGCGAAATCGATAGTATCCGCGTATTTCATAATTAGAGCATAATCTCGTCCTTAGCGAAATCCTCTTATACACGACCTCAAGAAGACTGTTATATTTCCCAGAAGGAAAATACTCTTAAAGTTAGAGGAGCCTTTTATTTCAATTTTATCTATATTAATTAATATAATTTCATATTATATACCTATATGTATACGTAGTATAGTATTAAGTATACAGAGAAGCTACATGGTCCCAGGAATATGTTGCTCATTTGTGCTTTTTTTAGTATTTATCTTGAAAGAAATAGTGGATATAAAATTGCGAAAACATTTTTTTAGGACATAAATACTTTTCTCTCAGTTCCATTAAAATTGAAATAATATTACAGAAACTTAAAAAACTGATTTGATAATAACAAAGTAAATCTTCGAGCCTCTAAACTTTTTCTATTAATATTCTCCATCGTAACTGAATAAAATTAAGCAATGCGTTGCTAACTAGAATAAAATTTTTCGCAAGTATATGATATACTGTTTTTGATAATAAATGCAACTTTCATTAATAAAATGATTGAAATAGATCATATTGGAGGACGAGATAAAGTTGGCGTATAATTAAAAGTCGGCAGAAGAGCTGTGGAGACTCTGCAACTACTAATCAGGATACATATTTTATATATAGTCTTCTTACTCTGCGTTACTCGGCAACTGAATCTAGTATCAGGGCAGGATTTTCTGCATATTCGTATTTTGGTTATTACAAAATAAAATATACGGTTAACAGGATCGTGGCGGGCGTTAATACATAGAAGAAGTTTGCTTCTATCATGTTTATACAGTCAGTCACAACAATTAGTTGCCTAAATTGTAACTTCGAAATTAAATATAAGACATCTAGCCCCGATTTTCCTTATACTATGTACTTAATTTCATATTATATTAATTATTTAATTTCGTCTTTTATCTACAGTACAAGTCGTTCTTAGAAATTCTTTCTGATAATAGAGCATTCTGCTTCAAATAAACATGTTCCTCTTGATTAAAAAATAAACAAAATAATATTTAATAGATTTATCATTAATTGTTCATATCAGTAGAAGAGGAATATTCTTTTAGTGGAAATTTCCGCTTAGAACATGGGCTTGCAGAAAATGGCATCTTGCAACTAGTTCTTTTTCTTTTTTAGGTGTTGGGATATTTTCTCTTTGGTTTTAGAAGAATCCTTAAGGCCATATATAAGAGGATTCCGCTAAGAATGACGTTATATTTTTTGCACTGAAAAAAATATTTTTGTACTTAGTTGGCATTACATGTTTTTTTATTTGTGACAATTATATTCGAACGAGCAAAATACATGTAGCGGCAATTAAATTTTTTGTTTGCAATTACTAAATATTTGGTTGATTCCATTTTAACCAAACCATGGTCTGGTGTACTAAATTGTCGTCTCGACAAAATTTTCTTTTCAGTATAGGTATGTCAATGAAATACAATTTGATCGAATTATATATCTTCCAGTTATTGATTATGCGAGTCTTAATTATTCAATGCTAAACAATTTGAAGATTGGTAAGGTAAAAGTATCAATTTCCGAACACGTATCTAATCCTGAACATTCTTATTATTTTAACCTTTAACATTATTTAAACTTTCAACGTAGAATGTATGTATATACTTAATACTTGTATATAAATTTTATGTTGAAAGTTTAAAACATCTATATTTTATAAGACCAAAATAAGAATGTCCAAGTTAGGTCATATCCGGTCATTGATACTTTTATTTTAACTGAAACCTATGAGCCTACCTGTTCGTGATCGTCCAATGATGAACAGACAGGCAGCCAGTACCAGAAATGAGTAAACCTGAAAGGACGTCAGATTGTATCAAGTATACGACGTTACCGACGTAATCGTCAGTCCTTACATTGTCCGCATTCTCGGCTATCTTCCTCTTATCGCGATCATATCCGTACGAGTCCGAGAGTTCGGGGGTGGCAGGGAACGTAATGGATAAGGAAATTCGGAGACAGCACATGACCACAAGGAGAACGACGAGGATCGACAGGGCGAACAGAAGAAATAGTCGCAGACATGACATCTTAGGTACTCCCGACGAAGGTACTGAAAATACGCACAGCTCGATAATGTACGTCGCCTCGGTCGAAAACCGATAAAAAGTCACAAAATTACTGTTGTCGCGGAAACTTCCAATTACGCTCGTAAAGCACCTCCTTGAGTTCTTGTACCTCGGTGCGCGAGGTCCGCGGAAAGTTTCGCCCCGTTCCGCGGAACATTGTCATTTCTTCTAACCTATAAACATTATCGAGAGTGACATTTTCTATTTCTTTACCTACGAAACTTGGCTCGCGGATAAAAGACGTCGAACGATCCTCGTCGGGAAAAAGTCTCGTTCGCTGGGCTGACCTCTTCTCGCGGGCTAACGAGAACGCTCGACCTAACTAATTAATTCGAGAGCGAGCTTGTTCGCTTCCTCATGGATTATAAATCACGATCCTATCTTTCTGCGCGCGAAAGAAGGGCGATAACAGTTGGTCGAAAGTAGAGTCAGCCGACGTCGGCGTCGCCGATCCGTAATGAACCGGAATCGTTTCTTGGCCGACGTTGCGGAAGAATCGATTATGAAAACTGACTAATCGTCGCGATGGGTTCATATTTCGAGCGCATCGTGCCGCGTCACCGTGTATTTCCTATGTGACGGAGCGCGAAAGGGCGCGCGCGACTTCGAGAGAGAGCTAAAGCGAGAGGCGATAAATCGAGACAGTTCGGACCCTCGAAACTTTTCCATCGATGGCGCACATCCGCGGGGCAGAGTGCTCTCACGAACTTATCGATTCGATATGTCGGGACGTTGCCCGTCCCATGGATGAAATCGAAACAGAAGCAAGTCGGATAAAAGCCTTCCCGGATGGAAGATCGAGAGTTTCGACGAGTCGATACTTATTCTCGCGGCTGCCCCCTTTTAAGTGCATCGCGGGGATGAATCGAAGGACGAGCGGCGGGAAAAAGCAGAGGGCTGGCCGCAGCAACTCCCCGGGTTACTCCCTTTTCAGAATCCTTAGAATCACAAGGTTTTCCATCCGCGGAGCGCGATGGAAAAATCTTCGCGGATACGTGTCGCCGTTGGGTCTTGCTGGAATTTCTGCGATCTATGACCGTGACTGATAAAAATGCTCGTCGTGTGCTTAGAACGTATGTATGCATGCTTTAAGGTCACAAGGTAATCCAAGTTATGCGATAACATATCGTAAACATTTCGTAGCGATAAAGAGGCGATTGGCAGTAATGAGCGAGGTTGTCGCGAAGCATTAGCAAAGAATCTCGCGGATTTCTCGTTGGAATAGTAAAGCATTATATTTTTTCATTTTGGTTCACTTTGAGTTTCACGGGCAGTTTATAGTGTTCTAGTTTTTAATGTTCTCACTCCTATCATCAAGTACAACAAAAATATATAAGAAATAAAATTGAATACAAGATATATTTAAATAATTTTAATAAAATCGGCATAGCTGAGACACGAACCGTTCTAAATTTTTTTAACCGAAATTCCAATCAAAATATTTTAAATCTGTGCTAAATTAGTCAAAAATGATTCGAATCTCGGCCAAACTAAGAAATTATTATGTATAAATAATTTTTTTTCAACTTTTTACATGTGTTGTTTAGACATTTTATTATTTATACAATTATATTATATTATATAATTTTATACATTTGATTTTATATTTATAATCAACAAACCAGAAACGCCTATATCTTGTATTTAATTTTATTTCTTATGCATTTTTGTTGATGAAGTAAGAACATTAAAAAGCTATAAACTGCCAGTGAAACTCAAAGTGGACCAAAATGAAAAAAATAAGACCTAAATATTTTTTGTATTTCTACATTTGTGCCAAATTAAAAAGAAATTAGAGTGTGACTTTTGAGTAGGTTTACTTGTTAGTTTCTAGAGAGAACGAGTTAATTAGTTTCGAGAGAACGAAATATTTTTGTAGAACCAATTTTTAGTAAAATTTGGAAGTTTTGTGTTTTCAAATCGCCATCATTTTTATGAAAACACATTATTTTATAAAATCCGCTTAACTGAATCCGCTTAACTATACTCATATAGATTTGTAAATTTCAAACATATTTCATTTCAAGTAATTGCAATTTGAGTTCTCGAATAGACCGCCGATGGACCATGTTTTTTTAAACCACAGGGATCTACAATGCCGTATAAATGTCAATATTTTTATACCGACAAAGTAAAATTATCTTTAAAATATACTCTATCGATATACCCAATCATACCCAATCATTGTTTTTCTACGACGTATAAATTTTTCACAAATCATTCCTAAAAAAGGAACTTTTTCGGAACCTTTGCTGTAATGTACCCCTTGAAGTTGTCGATTTGAGGACAATATGAATATTTATTTGAGAATCAAGTTAACTTTTCGCAATGAGCGAACAGTATAAATATTTGTAAGAATTTGATTCGGATCGACGGACATGTGCGCGGTTCGCAACAACTCTCGTCGGTGAACCAACGACCACGTAAGGTCGTTTACGTAAGATGACACTGTCTCCGCGAGAAACGAACGAAATTTTCTCCCTAAGAGCGAAAAACGCCAAGGTGTTCCCGCGGAGACAGCGTGATCCGACGAGATCTTCGCAGGAATCTCTCCGCAGGATTCCGATCCGCTTCGGAGTTCTCTCGTCGCCTCGCGCATTCGCTCGTTCCACGCGATTGCGTCGCGAAAAATGATCGAAAAGGACGAGGAAGCGAGAAGAAAGAGAAAAACAGACGAAAGGGCGCAACGCGGGATGAATCCATATAGGAAAATTCCGGCGGTTCTACCTGCCGCTCGATGACGTACCGTGTGTCCCGCCATGTGGCTGATCGTCGGCTGATTCGTGGATCGTTAAGTCCGGACGATGTTTAAAAATACCGCTGCAGCGCGATGGCCCGCCGATCTCGCGAGTACGTCCGACGGAGACTAATATATCGCGTGCTTTCTCGGCATGTTCGTAGTAGCGGCAGCAGCAGGTGCTCCCACCTCCTTCGGCAAATCCAGGGCATACTCATGCGTAAGTAACGCGAGTCTTCCGTCGTGTCGCGCCTCTCCTTCCTCTTTATTAATTCACTTGACTATCTGCCGAAGTCGCCTCTTCGACACGCGCGCCGATAAGACGGCCCTCTCCTGTCGTCAGGAAGTCAGATCAATCCGTGTGACACTCCCTCGCCATCCTCTGTTGATGCGGATAAACCCGGAAAAGTAGGTCGGATTTACTTCTCTCTGAAGTACAATAATCGGCGTGTATCCTTCTTGTATTAAGATACGGTCTTAGACAATCTCAGCATATTCTCATCGCAAATTTTAGAAAATTTCGTGATTATTTATTCGGGGAAGAATTTTTATTCTCTTCGCAAGAATATCATAAAAGTTTATCCAAGAAAAAGTTGCTTTGCCTCTATGTACATGAAAAAGAAAAGATTTCTCTGTCGTGGCTAGTCATGGTTCGCTGAAAATATATTCGTTGCTGTAACCAAACATTTGCTGCTGTAAGCAAAATTTTTGCTACTGTTGCTACCGCATTGGTTTCATAGCTAAATATATCCTTACTGGCAGCTATACTTTAGGTATCCATATGTTACGAGATTTAGCTGCCAGACAGAGAAAAATATGATTCTACTGCTGTATTTTTATTGAAACGACCGGGGCTACACTGAGAAAAATTTCTGGTAATAATTATCCAGCCTGTGTTATAATTACTACATTTAGTAAAATAGTATCAACTAAGTATAAGAGGTGAATATTATTATATGAAAGTTAATGTTACTAACAATTTTGTAATTATTACCAAACTTTTTTTCAGTGTAGATGCCCTACATTTTAGCATTCCAAAGTTACAATTTTTCAGACAACTAATTGTCATGACTGATTGTATAAACATAATAACCTTTTCTATGTATTAATCCCGTTAACCAGCAGTGCAGGATAAGAAGGCCACGTATAAAATATGTATTCTGATTAGCGGTTCCAAAGTCCCGCGAGAGGTCTTCACAGTCCTCCAGCCTTTAACTATTGGCCAACTTTACCTCGTCCGATCATATGCTCTATTTTAATCACTCAAAATCATCAAATAAAAATTGCATTTATTACCAGGAACAACATATCATACACTATTGGAAAATTTCATTTTAGCTTTCAATTTGTTACACATGGTACAAACTATGTGTTAAAAATTTAACATAGTTTTTACAATGTGTAACAAATTATCGTGTTATAGATTTCTTGTCTGTTTGGTCAAAATCAATGAGAAATAAGACAGCAATTAAATGAGAGAGCGTCTTCACTGGAAATCAGTGAATAATTTATTGTTTATCGGTGAAGTCATTTGACTCAATCAGAAACATGTTTACTGATTTGTTCTAAGAAAGTGTCGTGCAAATTGTCAATTCGCGAGGTGCAATTTTGCGTTGTGGAAAAGGAAATGGAAAAGGAAATGGAAAATAAAAATCGCGAAAATCAGGAAATAATTTTCAGTCGAATATATATAGAGATATTCTCCGTTTTAATGGAAATATCGATAATTGATGTTATCAATTATCACCTACGCATATATTCCCACGTTCTCTGATATTGCATATCATGAATTTGACGTCAGTCTCGCGCTTGAACTCCGTGAATCGCCCCGTAATGGAAAATCGTATTGGTAGGACGTAAATGGCATCACAGCTGACTTTACTGATACATATTTTACGTACGCGATAAATATTATTATGGATAATTCATGACGCAGGTGTGGACGGAAATTTGATGGAATCTTGCTTCCTGAGGCGTCACGAGTTTGACGAGCACGTGGTTGCAACGACAATCGCGTCGTAAAATCGCGAAAGTCGTGACGAAAAGTTGCAGTCGGCGGGCGACAATTGCGACGAATCGCGTTAAATCCCGCCTCGGCATTACGATTATCAAGGCTGCCTGTGTATGCGCGGGTGTATATGTGTGTGTTATTTAACTACATACGCACGATAAGCGACGATTACCAACGGTGCAGCCGTGAGATAAGAAACTAGTGCATGCACTGTCCTGTAAAGCGTGATATCACATATTTGCCGACTAAACAGATACGAACACGATAGATCTCATCGATACAGACGCTGTTCCCTAGGAGAATCGTCTCCAGAAATTGAACCAAAGTAAACGCGCATCGCAACTGTAGAAATAATTATCCGAATAAACACAATAAATCCGCGGCAGAGCAAACCGCTTTAGGGAGAACGCTTTATTCTTGCTTTTGTGTAATTTTCCCCGCGGACAAAGATAATTAACGCGCTCGTGTTGCCGCGACAAGCGTATTTTTCGTGAATATTTGCAGACCACATAAAACCACCGGTAGCGATAAAAGCGAAAAATTTTTAACGACCTTCCCTCACTTGTCACGAAATATCGTCTCGAAATAAATATATTATACTGCGCCAGCCGTGTGCAGCGTGTTTCAATACTGCGATGTCGAGACACCGATGTCTGATCGGATTCGATTTTCCTTTAATCTTTTCACATAAACCTTCCACAATAAAGACGTCAAGCTATCGCGTATCTTTTGCTACCACGGGAGCTATATCCCTATCGAGAGGAAGACTCGTGACTCCGATTCTCAGCAATAATGTCACCAAACTAAAGCTCCAAGATCGTAGTTTCTTTCGGGATTTCCCACAAACATCCACTTCTTGCTAATTGTTTTCAACGACTCGCAACGATACGCGGATTTCCCCGATGAATTTCAGCTCGTGTCTTTATCTTTTATTTGTACATTTGTCTGACAATTCATTATACACCCGTTTTCCCCGCGGTCAAAACTCATCAAACTGAACACAAAGTTCCTGTAACCGCGTAAAATTTTGAATTCTTAATTAAAGTAAATTGGTGAGAATGATCACGCTACGATAGTTGAACTATGATGACGACGTATGCTTGTGCATTATGTCAAACTGAACAAAAAAATCCTTTACACTGAGAGAATAAAATGGTTGACCTACTTAAAATTTTTTGTTATTTAAAGAAAAGCTGGAAAGTAAAAATTTGTTTTAACTCTTTGTACCTTTAACTTTTTATTTACTTAAAAGTTGCTTTTAGTCTCAACCGTATCTTTTGTATTAAGATGGTAGTAACATGCATTTAAAATTGTTATCCCGTGGAAAGATGGAATCTGATGGATTTCTTCTTTCTTCTTTTTTTGATCGTCTTTTTATAATTTCTCAAACCTTATAATATCTCTCATGATTCTGTGAGATATTGAGATTTAATAACTACTAATAGAAGAAAGATTCTTAAGATATTGCAAAGATTTAAAGAGAAATGGAGTGCGGGAGTCTCTCAGACTTCACCTTTTTGACGACAAGTTATCACTAACTTGTTTGCAGAATGGAACTTTTTGTTTGCAGAAAACATTTCTGTTTAGTTTGACTTAATGTATACACGATTACAGACGGCGCCATCACAGGCTAATCTGCCGTATTGCGCTTGATCATTTGTCAATTTTCTTTAATCAATAATTGAGAATTTTACGTACTTGTTTGCGAGATAACAGAGAAATTTTGTATTCAGTTTGATAAGTTCTACCTACACACACAACGGATATGTCAATAATTGTCAAATTATTCAGTTTATATACTGAGAGAAATTATGCGATAAAATTGACAAACGGATTTCCGATCGATTAAAATATCGATGAATTTTTATATCTGAATATCTGATTAAATTTAATCGAGTACTTTATAATGACATTTCATCAGATAAACCGATCAAAAAATTATGAATCGATATTTCTTATCGAATGTTTCCTGATCGGATACAAAAATTCATCGGTATTTTGATCGAAAATATCCGTTTGTTAATTTCTTATCGAACAATTTCTCTGTGTATAATCATATTTCAGCATATCGCACTTCTCTCTATATTCACGAGAGCGCTTCTTGTATCTTAGGCTCGACGCACCAAGCGCAAAGCGTTACTTTTAGCAACGCGAATCTTTCGGGAGAAGAGGAGGAAGGTGGGAGACGTGAGACATGATCGTCGCGATTGTGGTTCATATGAATTTCAGACAGATCAATGCCGTAGCCTTCTAGGCATCAAGGAAAAGAAGAGTATCCGACCTTCCCGTGCGATGCCACGTATCATGATCTCGCGGTGTCGCGCGTGACACACTTTACTAGAGGAGGAGGAATTGCTGTCATCATTGCCATCATCGCCGTCTGTCTTCGTCGCAGTCACCTCGTCGCACGTGGGTCATCATCGAATTCTCAGCTCGGCAGCAATCAGCCAATCTTATTCGATTGTAAGGTCGTCCGCGCTTCTCGTATTACCAGTGCTTAAGCGAAGGAAACGCGCGGAAAATTGCCGACGCCGTGATACATACACGAGACAATGCGAGACGAGCGGGCGGGAAGAGATCTATGAACTGACACGTGGGTCACCCGTGGGAGTCTCGGCGACATCCGACGGGACTCCAAATATAGGTTTGACAGTTCTTCATATTCAGTTCGGTTGTATACAATCCGATATAATCCAGCAAACACCGACTGACGGTAGTATTATGTTAATATTACAATTTCCTCCTCAACAATGTAAGGGAGAGTGAGACTAATTGACTACCGGTGTAAATTAGTTAAAATCGATTATTTCTACTGTTTTTAATAGATTTTAGGATCAAGCAAACAGGACTTTTAAAGTCATCTCTGACATGTCTAAAAATCTTATTTGCTTAATTCTGTAACTTGTTAGAAAATAAAAGAAATAATCGGTTTTGCCAATTTATTCGGTAGCCTCTTGCCTTACTATTATATAACACATATGTTATATTACATTTACATTGTTAAGCGAAAACTTATAAGATTGATGTTATACATTGATTGGTAAGTATTAAGACTGCTGTGCAATCCGTTAAGACGGATGATGTTACTTTCTTTTTATCATGCGTACTTTTTGTTTTTCATCTTATTGCACAGAATGGATCAATAATTTGAATATATTTGAATATCTTTGATAATAAAAAACAAAAAGAGATTTTAAAATTTTTGGAGCTATTCTATTAAAAAAAAAATTTTTATAGTGATTTTTTGTGGGAGAAGTAGCTTCAAAAATCTTAAGATAACCTTTGTTTCTCGCTTCGAAGATATTCAAGATGGCAACAGTTATATTGACTCATCCTATGTATTTATTTCAATTTTATTTGCTCATATTTAAAGTTGCGAATCATTAATTACTTTTTTAATTAATTGTATCGTATTTAATTGACGATTAATATGAGCCGACTCAATTGAAGGCCGCTTAATTAACAATTGATTTCAACAAATTCAATCGAAAACCGTTTGATTGACAGTTGGTTTCAACGAATTCAATTAAAGACCGTTCAATTGATGATTGATATGAGCAGAGGGAAGTAAAGATTTTTCAGTTAATAATTAAACTTAGCAATTTGGATTAAAGGATGTTTAATTGATGATTGAACTTAGTAAATTTAATTTGCTTGGTGATGATTGATATGCTGAGTGCTTCTTTCAACACAATTTCTACACAATCATTGGCATTTCTCACGATGCCGCAATTCTCTGAAAATGAATATTATTCACAAAACCAATTGTAACCTTAAATAATCGAATATTTTTCAATTAAATCGATTGAATTTATTCATATTAATCGTTAATTAAACAGTCTTTAATTAAATTTGCTAAGTTCAATCGTCAATTGAACGACCTATATTAAATTTGTTAAATTCAATTATTAATTGAACGATCTTCGATTCTCTTCGCTCATGTCAATCGTCAATTAAACATTCTTCGGTTGATTTTACTTGAATCAATCTAATTAATTAAATTAAAACACATTTGTTCAAGTCAATTATTAAATTGAGAAAAACTTAATTTCTTTATTTATTTCCCAACTCTACTTATATTCACGCTTTGGGTGTTTTCGTTTCTATTCCGTTTGCATATGTTCCTTTTACTTCACGAGACATTAACATTTCTATTCATTTTGCACAAATCAGTCTCTCGCGAGGGATTGGATGAAAATGTAAGGCGGAAGACGAAACGTTGATAAGCATGAGACAGCGATTACGGTAACGATTTTTATTTTATTCGACGACGTTATCATCGTCAATGGCCGCGAATTTCCTCCCGAAGGATCTGGCCCACATCGAGATCTGCGCTGCTTCCACACTTCGTTGACATTCCCCGCGTGATATCTCCCCGGGAAGCGCGGTGTTATCTTACGACAATGCCGTGCCGTCACAGAGATGAAATTACTCACGAGCGATTTCGCCGCGTTACCGTAGCGGTAGATTGAAGTTAGTCGCCATCTCGCCTTAATGACACGAAATACAGGAACGTGAAGAGCGCGACTTAAGTTACCTACCGTTAAGCCTGACGCGTGCCTTTTAACGTGCCTACCAGAGGCTAAACCGGACACCGTCTTTCATTCTTTGATTCGCATCACTTGCCAGTAGATGGCTCCTAAAATGCTGTTAAAAATTTGACGAGCAAAACACCAATATGTTTACACGCGGCGGTCAACATTGTTCCTCCGTCACGTTGATAGGACGACGTAAATGAGTGCGCCAGAGAGGTCTCAATTTAACATCTAATTTTATCCAAACTTATAAATGGCGCGCGCGCGCGCGTTAAAAAAAAAGAGATGGGAGAACGGAAGCAATTGACCTTGTTCCCCTCGTCCCACGCGCATCACCCTTGCGATCGCACTTTTGGCACCGTCTGAAAAAAGACGTTTCAGCCTCCTGAAAGATAACAGCACCCTACGGAAGGAGAGCGCTCGATAACGCCGGTGACAATATACTAATAATCTGGAGCGCGGGATCTCTTCCAGCTCGCTTCCATCCCCTGAAGGAGGTGGCAAAAAGGGGAAATTTCGTACTCGCGAGCTCGGGGTGATGTCGGTCATGCCGGATCTTCGGGACAACAATGTGCCGCACTAGCCCTCCGCACGGGCACCCCGCGAAGAGTATTTCCGATCCTTTCGTGGGCGCGTTTACTATCGATCGAGGGGATATAACGCGTACCAGTCGCGTTGCCACGAGTCGAGGAAGCGAGAAAGGGAGAGCGAGCGAGGGGAAGAGACGGAGACAGAGAGAGGAGAGAGAAAGAGAGAGAGAGAGAGAGGGTGCAAAGACCACCCCCTTCGGACCGACGACTATAAGTATCGGTCGCGGTCGGTCCGCACGGCTTATGAGTGCCTTGCGGCCCCACCGACGCGGTAACCGTTTTCGCGCTCGCGGAAAAGCCACTTGGACGCGGCGTTGAGGATCGTTTCGATCTATGAATAGATCCTGACCCGCTGGACGCGTTGTCCATTCGCTATCGAGCAACAGCCGGCGTGCGATCGTCGCCCGGCTCGGTCGGGAGGCATCGATCCGCGGGGGAAAGCCGACGAACGCAGCACGTGGAACTTCCGGCGGTGAAGCGGGCATGACGACCTCACCACGGGACCGAGAAGTTGGCGAGGAACCGGCGCGTAGGCCGGACTTGAGGTGGAAAACCTGAGCGTCTGAACGGCGGCGCGAACGGGGATGTCGATCGACGTCACCTGACGAGAAGTCGACCGAGATGAGAAAGTCGAGGGGCAACGTCATCGACGACGTCTGCGGCTGCTCCGCTCTGTCGTCGATCATCCCCAGGAGGGACCTGGACTCCACTTCCGGTGAGAGAGAGAGAGAGAGAGAGAGCGTGATCTCTATTCTTCACTCTCGAGGGCTGAGCCCTTGGCCGTCGCGGTAAACATCGCGCGATTATCGCCGGGCAACCGCGGTTCCGTTTCCATGGCGTGTCGTTAAACTTGTGAGATCCCTAACGGCTCTGAGATCCTCCCTGATGATTAATGTCTCTCGCAACGTAGAATTGCTTCTCCAATTTTAGATCTGACCGTCTTGTTGATAAAAACGGGTCTTATCGGTAAAAACAGGTTTTATCAAAAGCAGCAATTAAGGTTGCTCGATAGTTGTAGATTTTACGTGATAACAGCAATTGTCCGCCGGGAATTATACGTAAAAATTTGACGTAAGATAGGGAGAGATGGAGAGGGAGAGAGTATGGTACCGTAAATATATCATCCACGTATGTAGTTAGGTTTATCTAGACGTAGCTGTCAACGTCAAATTATCAGACTGTCCGCGTCGACACCGACGAACTATTCAAAGTTTACCTACAGTGCGATTGTCGAATCGATCGCCACACACGTGCTCTCCAGACGACGGGAAACTCGAGCAATCGATGAGCGCTCGGTGGAACCGAGTTCTGCTCGGTTCGTCGCGCAACCTTGAGCGAGAAAAACGATCGTTCAGGACTTCCTCCTGTTCGTGGCGAGGAAGCCTCTTCGCTACGATGGAGATACTTCCGGTAATCAGCTGCGTCCGTCGTCTGGCACGCCAGATATCACTTTCATCAGTTTTCCCTTCGTCTTTTCCATTTTTTCTTTCCACCGTCGCGCCGTTCACTTCACCATCGCGCTTTCTTTCATTCGCTGGTTCCCTCTACTTCTTCATCTCCTCGAATTGCTTCTCTTCTCGTTGCCTTTAGCGATTACCGCATTGTTTTCTCTCTCCCTCTCTCTCTCTCTCTCTCTCTCTTTCTTTCTTTCTCTTTTTCTTTGAAGACTCTTTATTGTTCCATTTTGCAAATATAAAATCAATTCTTAACGGTGAGATGTGAGTGCAACCACGTCATCTTCTTCAAAGATAAAATTAATGGTTACCAAATCGCGTTGTGTTTTACGCTGATAGTGGAAGGCACGAGTTGTTCAATTTGTGCACGTAAATTTTCCTCCCATCAAATTCCCTTACGACTACCCCTTATCTTACCCCTTTCTTTTCTATCATTTTCTGTGTGAAAGCAAAAACGAACATTGCAACCGACGCGCCGAACAATCGACGTATGGCGTTACGACGTCCGCCGCGCCAAGCCGATTCCCGCCTTTCATTTTTCTTCTCTTCTTTCCTGTTCTACGTGCTGCCCCCTCCACTGATGTTGCCCACCGCAGCCACCAGCTGGTTTGTTTCTGGATACATCAACGTCGCGCCGACCCTTCGCATGAGCCAGCTTTGAATCTCTAAAGCCAGTCGGCAACCGGTGGTGCTCACGATTACATCCGTCTATTAGGATAAGACGCGCTTTTCGCCGTCCCGTCTGCATCTTTAATTTTCTCCGTTTCCTTCTCTTTTTCTTTTTTTTTTTTTTTTATCTCGAGGTAACTTTTATCGCGACGTTTATCGAGGTAACTTTCATCTCACCGTTCCCGCCGAGCAGTGGCTCGAGCAAAAATTCCAAGCGAAAAATATGAATTGCACGACGGCAGTGTCGCGTCAACGAGCGCCGTCGGGTTCACCTTAGTCGCCCCACCACTTGGATAGGGTGCCACTCGCGGTCCCCTCGTCTGGACCTGACGGTCCCCGGTCCCTGGCGGATGTAAGACGGTGTTTCCACTCACCGCGAGGTGATACCGAGGAAAACATCGACGGAGATCCGTCTCGCGCGATCCGTGTTATGACTGTGCCGAACTGAACGACGCGACCGTCGGTGATATCGATCAGTGATGTTAGTTTATGATCAGTAATAGCACGAGGCCGATCTCACGAGAAGATTTCGGGACGGGGATCGTAGTGCGCGCTGGAAATATCGAAGCGAGAGTAAAATGACGCATGGATCGTGAAAGAAAATGACAACCGCGGAAGTGCAAGAAGATATAAAACAATGACATGAATATGATAATGTGAATATCGAACTACCCTGAAATTCCGCAGCAAATTGGTATCGACGTCGACAAAGGGGTCACTCAAATACCGTTTTATATTCCGTGCATGTCGAGCTGAATGTTTCTACGATGGTCTTCTTCGGGAGGAAAGAAAAGCTGGAGGATCGCCGGTTACTGGCCAGCACGGAGTCTATGAATGGCGTGAAAATCTATCAAATCGACAATGGTAGATCCCTTAATCGCGTAACAATCGAGATAAGGTCGATATGTAGGCTTCTTTAGAAAGAAATCCGAAGAACATTTCACGCGTGTCCTGAGTCGAAATTTTAGTCTCGCTTTCGACCTGAATTTTTCAACACCTGCATATTTTGAAGAATTAGTGTATATTTAATACAGACACAAAAGTTCTCTATTTATTGTCTCTAAATAGCAACAAACGCACAAAATGCCACTTGGAAGTTCTAAAGAGGACCTCTCAAAGTATAAGATTATCGTATCTGTAGTCAAATGTATAATTATTATCGATAATTAAGTGTTTCTAAGATGTGTCTCTTAAATACATCGCGTGTGTGTGTTTTTGTATTATGTGTGCATATACACACGCACACGATATACTTAAATAACGACATATTGTTACTTTAATATTACAATTTGTATATTTATTTTATATTATTTCTAACTTCCAAAATTTTATCTCTGAACTACAATGAAACTTTGCATATATCATGTATATTTAAAACATTTAAAATACTTAAAACATACATATATGCAAATTAAGATTTTTGTCATTATTTTCCAGTTATCTCTTTGTTTACTAAAAATAGCAACATCATACATTTTCACAACAATACATTTTATTATTCTTCTAAGTAATACGGTGATATCAAATTATATATTAATAATATATTATTAAAGAAATTATTAATTGATCATTGAAACATCATTTGACGTTTGGTTTCAAAGTAGAGTAACTATTTATCCAGATTCTGAATCAAAATCAAATTTCTTGTAATCACTTTTACACGCAACACAGATTAATCTCCAATTCTTTCCCAAATTTTTCATTATTTTTGAAATGTGGACGATACATCCTTAATTCTCAGTTGAACTAATTCAGAATACCTAATTGGTCTGACGTCTCAACTAACTGGTCTGCTTAGATATTTCTGGCTCAACTGTGATTCTCTGGTTATGCCTCTCTTGCTTCTGTTTTTTATTTACTGCTTACTTCTGCTCTTTCTTCGCGTTATTCCGGCTCTTTAATTTATAGATAGTAACAAAGTGATGTAGTGTGCTTCTACGTATGTTACGACCTGTTCAAGCTGGTGCTCTTTGTCATCGCTCAGTGTCTATGTTCGCGCAACAATGTACCTCTGTACGATATTTTTTTAAATCTACTAGGTTAATTAGAATCACAAGGAGTTGATATAGTCTTCAAAGTACCAAAGTAGGCGTTGAATGAAACGTCGGACTCGAAAGCAGGATCAAAATTTCGACTCGAGCTGGCTCTGCGAATGGAGTCGTTGCGCGCGCGTGCGCGTCATGCTTCTCAGAAATTAAACGGAAATATTTTGGTACATCCACGCAAGTACGAGCTCTTAGATATTTCCACGAATATCCGACGGGCAGCGAGCGCAAATGTTATCGCCGACTAGCATATTTTTAATTTCCCGTTGCGCTTTCTTCGCGTCGTTAAACTTTGACGTAATAGTTACGCCTTTCGGTCGACGCGCTTTCCACTGTCACGTTTACTGCACCGTCGTTTACCCGCACGTGAAATTTATCAGCCCATCATGATAACAGAGCATCCCGGGACTGCGTCCAAAAAGCTAATTAAGTCGACGATAACGTAGTCGTGTGTTGCAAACTGATAATAATCTTACAAGGGCAAAAACAACGCGACGAGGGAGATAATGACAAATTCGCAACGGCATAAATTGTAATTACATGAATTATGTGACTCTCATTTTTTATATTTATTGTGCAATCATGGACATGATATCTGCTCATTCGATGTATTTATCTGTTTCATTTATTAACGAGCGTGCTACGACGCACAATACACCGTATATCGTTGTTATAAATCGAAATAAAAAATTGGCAATTGTTACTAAATATACTTAGTTACAGAATTTAAGTAAAAATTCGGTAACCAATACCAAATATGATAATAATAACCAAATATATAATAAATTTCATGTACGAAGGACTTTTAATCACAATCAAATGGGCTAAAGATTTTAGTAATAGCTATGAAATATTTAACATCTGTTATTAAGTATTTGATGACTACTATCGGATATTTAGTAAATGTTATTAAATCATTCAATACTGTGTGATGAAATATTTCGTAACTATTAATATTTATCTTGTTAACCTAATGAAATATATTTGATAACTACCATTTGTACTCATATTAATATATATCATCTAGTAATATTCGCCGCATATCGACTGTTGTTGAGTTATTTCCAATATTTGCTAGTAATTATAGCATTGCCATGCGTTTCTTGAAAGTTGTAAGAATATATTATAAGCATGAGTACAAAGGTAGAGCTTGTAGGACTCATCAGTTTCTGTTCGATCATGACGTAAAGCATCAGGGGAAAGAGTTTGAACTAAAAAAGACCTGTATAGAAAAATCTAGATAGGAATCCGATCAGTTTTCCTCACTCATCGCTAGAATTTGACCAGAAAATCTGTCCGAATCCAGCTGGGAAATGACCGATTTTTAATGGGAATTCTGGCCAGAAAAAACTGACAAGGATCCAATCAGAATTATTAACTAGATTCTTGGTCGATATTTGAATTATTATTTTGAACTGTAGTGAGAGAAATAAGAAAGCAAATTCTAAACTGAAATGTTTTCTATTGATATTCTTTACATATTTTTATAATATAAAAACATATCTAAATAAGAAAGATGAGGCCTATAAGTGCAACTTTTTATTTTATAGACTTTATCTCTCTTATTTGGGTTATATGTACCTTCAGATATTATTTAGATATAGTTAAAAACATATCGTCTATTTAAAGCTTTAGATCGCCACAGGACATTCGTACAATAATCATTCAACTTAAATATAGAAAAAACAATGATATGTAAAACATTTCAGTGTAGAAAATTCAAATATATACTTAAACTTTGCCGAACCAGAAATTATTCGTCGATTCGACGTTGTCAACGTCGAGATGACGTAGGAATGACATTTCATCGAAACTGAATTTGCGTGTAAGGATAATGATAACGACAAGGAAACTAGCACAAAAGAATAAAGAGAGTTAAACTTGCGTTTCTCAGGAGAAAATTTCACTGGTTAAAATAAAATTATCAATTTTTTAAGGTTAACATACACTTCTACTAATTACATAAATAAATGCTGCACATGAATTCATATGAGCAACCTCACTCAATATAATTTCTTTTTGGCTTTCTTAGGCGATATTAACGCCAACAAGAACTTACAGATTCCCAACTGGAAACCTATTTGAATGCTCAGACATTTACCATCTTGCCAAGTATCTGAGTTCCCTGGTCGGGAACTGATGAGAAAGCCTTACATTTTTCTCTATAATTAATTAAAGTCAGATTCTAAGTTAAGAAAACAGGTCGGAATACATTTAGTTTTCCTTTAATGGGGAAATCTTATTTGAATTCAACAATACATGGGAGAAAAATGGGAAGATTTCTAATATGGAGATAAATGCTGTTATGGGATCGAATGAAAGCACAGACAAAACTTCACGTATGAAGCAATAAAAAGCGTTGAAAAATAAAAAATATAGATGTCTTAAAGTAGTTTAAATAGTACGATGAGATTTTCCGAATAAAATAAAGAGGTTGTATAAACAGTTTTCATTTCAGACGCAAGCTTTAGTAATAGTTGACAAATATCTCATTTTCCTTCAAATATCTCTGCTGCCAAAATTTAGTAACTTCCAGAATCTAGTCTGATTGCCTTAATGTATAGTTGAAGCAACTTAGTTCTGAAAACAATATATTTATTTTATAATATGTTATATAATTAAATTGATTTCCTAATTATTATTTTATAGCCCGCATTATTTGATCGAGTAATTTAGCAACTGCTGTCAAATTTTGGTACTTGTTACGAAATACTTCTTTTAATCGCTTTAATGATATCGCGCTTTATTCTATTTTGCACTTGCAATTTCAGTATGAACGTGCTAAGGAGACACACGTAAAAAGCGTACTCGCTGGCATGAAAACCGGTGGCATGCGCGATGTACATAGTATCACGCGTCCATGCCTTCGTAATGGCATGAGCATTTATCATTCATGCGCCGCATAGTTGGCACGGGTTATTATTACACAGTCGAGTGGCTTTTCATCGGGCACTCGGGTTTCAAACGTGTCGCCGAAGCATAGCCGATCAATAAATCGCGCAGTTCGAATCGTCCCAAGGCTGCGCGCTCTGGCCCGAAAGAATGGCCGAGCGCGAAAACGGCGCACTTTCCAAATCTGTTCTCACAATCTCGCGAACGCATTTCCTCGATTGCAAATAAATCCCAACACCGGTAATGAGCGCAACTCGTTCAATAACGCGCTCTCATCGACGAACGTAAAGCCACTTAAGTAGAACGCGATAATAACGTCTCGAGAGGCCTTGGAATGGCGTCCCGCCGCTCGCTCGAAGCCGCGACTGGAGGCGACGCTAATTGAAACGCATTTGAACACGTTAACGTGGTTTCGCGCTTTGCGGCCCTTGAGCTTGCGTCCAAGTCTCAAACCGAGCACACCACAAACATTCGCGCGTTACCGCCAAAGAGAGTCCCAGATCTCAATCACGTTGCATCAAATTTTGTGTTAAGTTTTAACCCATTTCACATGTCTCAATTTGTCCACTTGTCTTAATGTTTGTCTTAACACAAGGCAAATATGTCAACAAATAACGCGAGTAATATGTCGAAAATTAACACAAAAATGTAATACTTGGGCGTTACTGTGTTGTTTTAACACTTAAAAATAATGAATACGAACTCAACGAAAAGTAGTAAAAATAATACAACATTATACAACGAAATTAATACACGGGTATGTTAAAAATTTAACACCAAAATTTCTATATGGATTGACTTCAACAGAAATACAAAATGTTTTTAAAATAAAATGTTTGTAAAAGTTGACCCCATGGCTCTGATAAGGTTGATCCCAATCAGCTATTGGTTTGTAAAATAATGTTGTCAGGATCTAATTATTGATAAGTTTCTAACTTAACCCCTTATTTGATAATTTAAAGTGTCTGCACAATTCCCTTCAGGACAATTTTCTTATTTTTTAACAAGCATATATCTAAATTTCTTTTTTCTTTATTTTCTTTAAAGAATTTTGAAACATAGAATACAAAATGTGTGTAATTTATATGTATTATTCTAAAAAAAGTTGTTTATTATATATATTTAGCATATTTTACATGTCTCAATTTATCCACTCAAATTTTTGTGTTAATTTAAAACAAGGTAAATATGTTAACAAACGAAGCAACTTTTCAACTTTACATATAAAATATGTCACCAAAGATGTACATGTTACACATGAATTTCGTTATTTTGACACTTAGAAATGGCGAATATCAATTCGATATAGATTAATCAAAATAACACAATATGTTAACACAAATGTTTCTACGTGAATCGATCTCGACACAAATAGAAAATGTTTTTACCCTGAATGAATTGAATATGAATTGAAAAAAAATATAATCGTTTAAGTCAGTCAACAGGAATTTCATATGTTAACACGAGATTTTGTCGGACATACCATTTAAGAGTTTAATAATTATTACTGAAGATATTATTATAATTATCCTTATTATTATTAGCATTATTAATCCTTACTATCAATAAGATCCTAATTGCCACGCTGCGCTATACGACTTGTCAAAATTCGGTAACATCACTTTCACACACAAATCTTAACTGATTGGAAACAACCTAATCAGGACTATGGGATTAATTTCTGCGTGAGAACAGATACAGCGGATAGCTAACGATTTCTCAATCCTCCAGCGGCGGAGAATTGCGTGATAATTTCGCTTAATTGCACGGCGAGAAGTGGAAAAGTCCCGGGAGAATTTCCCGGTGCTGGCACGGTCGAATTGCGAAACTTCGTCTCGACAGAGAATGCCCGTTAATCGTGCTGACCGCGTCGATCGATCGATCGGTCGGCCGGTCAGTTTCGAGTGTTCGTGTGTTGTCCCGTCATTCGCACGGACAACTAATCAATTCCTAACTGATCTATTAGGAAACGCGCTTCTACAGAGAACTCTTCAGCAGAACTCCGCATTCGAGAGAGAGAGAGAGAGAGAGAGAGAGAGAGAGAGAGAGAGAGAGAAGTAGAGTTGAGAAGGAGATCGGCCGATCTCGCGTGGCGCGTCGGCCACCTGTAGCTAACCGAATATTGATCCGGCCGAAAGATGGCCACGCCCGGGTTCACCCTCGGCATCGCCACGACCTCGTTGGCACCCCGCTACTCTCCCTCACCACACCACCCTTCTCTGCAAGCCCTCTCTCTCTCTCTCTCTCTCTTTCTTGCAACCGCTGCTGCCGACGCAGCCGGCGGTGCGGTGGTGCATTTCTCCGCGTGGAATCCGCGGCCAGTTATGAACGAGTGCGCCGTTACTGTTCCAGCCGCGTTCATGCACGTGCGCGACAACATCGAGGAACTGGGCAAAGTCGCCGACGACACGGACCTGCTGTTCCTGAAGGGTCTCCTCGACAGCCCGGTCGTCACGTCGCTCGTGAAGGTGAGTCTGCCATCTACAGAATCGGAGCGGACCCAAAAGTGCTACATTGTGTGTGATATGACGTCGGACACCCCCGAGTCTGCTTCAGCTTGCGAGCCTTCGTTCGGTGGGTCAGGTCGGCGGAACGCCGGAGAATCTTGTGAAGAGGAGTCTCTCTCCTCGACGCTAGTTGTCGACTGTTGGCGCGTCAGTGATCGGTCGCGCGGCATGAAGCGCATTGCGTCAGATTGCGAACGCGCGAAAGGGTTTATTTTTTCAGCCTTCCATCGCTCTTTTTATTGAGTCGTTCTGGCCCGGCGTCGCGGGGAATTCCAAGTGGCAAACGGCACCGCGATTCGCTGTCCTCCCCGCGCTCGTAAATGCACGGGGTGGACGTGATCTTTTCGGCTCTGTGCGCGCACACGCGCTCACTGCACGCTGTTTACTATCGCCGTGGAAATTTACGAGGGGTGCGGGCGTTTACGAGCGGATCTGCTCCGCTACACAACTTTCTAATTCGTCGCATCGTCGAATGAAAAATTAAGACATACGCGTGTTCTGGCCGCCTGCCCGAATTCGATGTCGTTGAACCGCCGTGGCAGCTTCTCGTCGTGAGCGAACGCGCGTCTCTTCTCCTCGGGCACGCTCGTCACGTCGACAGAACTCACCCGAGAAACGCTGATCGTGAAACACTAATCGCGAACGCGATCGCGACTGAGCTACAAACCGATTACGCACATCACCGACTAGAAATTTATTCCATGCTCTCAACCCTGCTCAGAGTTGATCCCAATCAGTTATCTGGTCTGTACGAAATAATGTTATCCTGATAATTCATACAACGCACACGAAGAAAATGCTATAGTAAAGAAGTTATCTTAAAATATTATATTTCCTCTTTCTCATAATTTCAATTTAACTTTCTTCATTAAGGGAAACGAAACTCTTTGATGTAAAAATTAAAAAATATATCCATTTGCCGATGCAAATGTATATCACAAATCCACAAAGATGCGAATGCAAGAGCACGAATTAAGCTACATTTAAAAGTGCTAAAGTTTATCATGTCTTTGTAAAGTTGGTCTATACACTGAGAGAAATTATCCAATAAAAAATGGAAAATATCGCAATGATTCAACTCGAGCGTTGGACCTGCAGGTTTAGATTTGTAGAACAATTTTTGTCGTATATGTACATTGACCATATAATAGTTATTGATTCTCGTACACCAGTACGTTTTCAATTCGGTCAAAGTCATGACATGCTCCCGCGCGCCGTTTTAAAAAGTTAACAATAAGGATTATTAATAACTAGCTTAAACTACCCGGCATGGGCTTCTTATATATCTAGAACATCTAAATTTAAATTATCACAGTGTCAAGTGGATGAACTCAGAGAGAGGAGATGCAGTATCCAGGTTTCATGTAATCTATATTTTCCGCAGGATCTCCTAGAGAATAACTGTATAAAATTTCATCCAGATGAGTCAAAAGGTTTAGAGGTTAATAAGGAACATAAAAATGAGACAGACATTCTATTATACAGGGCCCGCCAAAAGTTCCAGAACGGCTAATTATCTCAGAAAATTGGTTGCAAATCCTTTCTCGATGAAAGCTTTCAGTGTTATGCGTGTACAAAGCTTTAGTACCTCAGACATTAGCATTACCTAGGATGTACCACATGGGGGTAGCCTTAGTCAGATTTACACCTCTTTTGTATTAGCAGAGATAAGGACTCCACGGGTCGTCACTCCCGTATTTCATGACTCAAAACCCTCTCTGCTGACCCACATACACAGCAGAGAAGATTTGGAGTCATTAAAGATTACAGGAGTGACGACTCGTGAGGTCCTTATTTCTTCTGACACACACACACACACACACATACAAAAGAGGTGTAAATTCGATTAGGCTACGTGATACCCTTTAGGTAATGTTAATGTGATATTGGAAGATTCGTAACTCTGAATATTCTTATCGGAAAAAAATTGTCAAAAATGCAACGTCACAGAAAGTTAGGCAAAAAATTTCAAAATTTCAATATAAAAGTTGTTTCTTTTTCCTTTTCCAAGTTGTTCTTCTCTATCCAACAAGATATCTTATTCGATTTATATTCCTATTTAAAATTTCCAAACTTACTCCAGTTACATCTACTTCCGGCTTGTTTAGAAAATTGAAACCATCACTAGTGAGTACCCATACTTTAGGTGCCTGTCTGTAATGAAAATATTTTGCTTAACTTCCTGAGATGTCACAATTGTGAGAAAAAACACGTGACTGACACGGATGGTCTGAATCACCCGGTATATGACTGTGCGTGAATGTGTATAAATTAAAACTCGATAACATCACTTTATGCAAATCAAACAACTGATTAAATCCTAATCAATCTGTGATCAGGACTATGGGATAAGTTTCTAGCCAAGATCGCGCTATAATAATTCCGCGAATCCTTCGCGAAGCGTAGCTCAAGGTGCGTTCCACGTGTTGTGATCGAAGTGGTCGGTTTGCATGCGCTCAGTCGCGATTAACTCACGAGGACGAATAAAAACTCGTCTCAGCTGCGACTGTCAATCGAGCCGCGATGGTTCGACGAACAACATCGAGATCAAGATGGAAACGTTGAAACCCGCGACGCGGTGAGATCTCGGGAAATCCTTGGATATTTTCCTTAGCTTTGTAACGGCATCTTTGCGCGTTCACGAGACCGCGCGCGACACCCACGCTATTTCGGTCGCGACACACTTCCCCGCCGAAGCGAAGCACGAAGAATGCCGCGCATCGCGACATGACCTTCGACGAAAATATATTATCCGACGATGGGCTGGAAACGTCATACTTACACGACGCGACACAACGCGATCGAGACTCTCCTACACTCACGCATGCATGCACGTAGACGTTAAAAGCGAGGTTCGCGCTGCTCTCACGTCTCCTCCCCTCGTACTTCCTCGAACGCCGAGCCGGGCCCACATTCCGGCGACTTACCTGCGCAGGTAAAACGCACGACGGCAGGCAGGGCGCGTCCGGCTTCGAGAAGCCGTTGAGAAGTCGTTGGCCTGAGTTTCCCGCCCTTAATGTCGAAACAAGCCGACAATAAGGAGTATTGACTCGTTGTAGTGGCTGCCCTTATTATCGCCTGTTAATGTCGGAGAAATATTCGTAAAGACTTTCTTTTGTTAATCTGATTGATTGATTTCGTCGAGGAACAAATGAGGAGAGGTATTGAAAGGAATTACAGCGGGAGGCGATTATAGCGGGAAGCACACACTCTTCCATAAAGGTATAATGCACAACGCATATAAGAAAATTGACCAATCAGAATCCTTCATTTCATCGTGGCAGTAGAAATGAGGACTCTAATTGGTTCATTTCCTCATGCGTTGTGTATTATATCTTCATGCAAGAGTGTGTGCTTCCCGCTTATATCTTTTTATATGTAGAATTTACTATAAATATATGTGCAAACCAGATCTCTCTGCAATTAAAATTGTAGTTATCCGTCTTATGTAATTCTACAACTAAAAGTAATTGCACTCTCGAGACGACAGGTAGTCACACCTCGATCGAGCGAATCGACAGGCCGTTTTGCCGCCACAAAGGAACGTTATAGTTCGCGACGTACGGCGCCGGGCGGGAAAAATATTGAGATTTATGGTCGGTCCGTTGTTAATTGACTGTAACCTGCTGTCTTCCCCGTTGACGTCGGACAATTGGCTGCGACCTCTTAATTGGATCAGGTCATAGGCGCCTCCGTGGAGTCGCGCGTACTTGCAGAAATCCAGGCGCGAGCATGCGTGCCGCGACGGCGATACACACGCGGCCTTACGTGCATGCTTGGTAAGGCATAGCGTGCACGAGACGGTGTAATTTCAGTCGGGGAGTCGGCTTTGTAATCGCACGAGAGGAAGTGGGAGAAACGTATATCGCGGCGAGTTTGTCCGTGCGTGCGACAGGGCTGTACACACGTGGTTTTTATCAGACGTAATTTTTTTATCCCGACGTAAAGTGAACTTTCGTGTGGTCGAATGCACCTTCTCTTCGATCCAATTACGCCCGGAATTGTCCTCTTACGAGGAAGTTCTTCTACTTTATTACCATGTAAAACCAACTGCCGGATCAGTCTTGTCTTGATCGTGGCGTATTCGACTATTCGACGTATTCTCGCACTATTCCGTCGTCGATATCGTCTGTAACAATTGTAAACCGGCTCATTTAACGGCGAAACATGCAAATGACTCTAATTACCGTTACCGTCACCGGTCGTTAAGTGTCAGAGCGATCTCTATCGGTGACGAGGAAAATAATTTGCTTCGGAGATTCAATTCCCCTCGCGGTTCGATTAAAAATAGCGCTCGTCGAGTAAAGTGTATCACAAACGAGGTCGTCTCATACGGAACAACAGGTTAAGTATATAGAAGTTTCCACCTGCTTCGGAATTTAAAATTATTAGTCCACGTGGAACAGAGTGTCTTGCCGACCGACACCTGCGGGCATCATTCATGCTGCGCGTCTTCACTTCGTTTACAAAGCGAACAGCTTGAAGCAGCGAGACTGCTGCGACGTTGTTCCATGGCATGGAGGTTCTCCATTTGAGACGGAAACCTTCTAGCTTACCCACAATACCTAGACCTGTCACAAAGGGATGTCGGGTCCCGGATAGAAATTAACCGAGACGGGTCCTAAGTATGTGTAGCAACCCTAACCAGGGATGCCCCAAAATAGGTATGCCTTCAGGATCCAGATATAGCCAAGATAGGCAAATTTTGAATAGAATTTCATGAATAAGTTATGAATAGATGCTGATGTGAATGCTCCAAAATTGGTAATGCTTTCATAGGAACCAAATACGGCAAAGATAGGCAAATTCCGAGTGGAACTTCGCAAATAGGTCATGAATTGATGCTGATGTGGATATCCTAAACAATTGTGCTAATAAGGCTCGATCAGGAACAAGTTAGGAATTCCTGAAACAGTTTAAACAAAAAAGAAACGATTATTTATTAATAGTTTATGATTTTACAATTATAAGATAAATATTTTGATGAATGTTATTATATTTTGAATAGTTAAGATAAGTATGAATTTTAATATTACAAAATTTTTTGTGATTTTGAATAAAAATACGAATAAATTAGCTAGAAAAAGAGAAAAAAATGTTTAATATTATTAATAATAATAGTATTATTTATGAAAGTAATATATAATAAAAAAAATTGTGATAAATATTGTAATAAAAATTTTAATACAAGTTATAAAAAATATTGTAATAAGCATATTAGGAAAGAATATAATTTACTATATCTTAAATAAACGTATCAAAATAGCGTTTCACAATTCATCATTTCAGTCAGGATCTAGTTAGGCATACTAAAATAGAGCCTAGTCAGATTTGCAAATCCAGTTAATGCGTAAGAGAGTTATATCTCTATGTAGAGCTTAAATGGCCTTTCATAAGACCTTGATAGAAGCAGGAAGAAACTAGGCTCTTTTTGACCTTCGTTTTAAATTTTTACTTGGGATTGTACGCCAGAAACGAAAAAATACAGTCTCTATTCACCTAAATCACACGACTGCTCTTTCCTATTAAGCGAGATTACGAAACCCAGGAGAAACCTTCCATGACGACCGAGGATCTCGCTTGCGTCGAGAGTGCTCCGAATTCAAAAGTGACGGGTATGCAGATCCGCCACATGTGTCATCACGTGTTTTCCCATGGAAATGGCGGATAAGAGAGAGGATGAAAAGCTCGTCGTTTACCTTGCCGCAAATTGAATTTTCGAGCACGTTCTCGCGTCATCGCGGAATACCTTTCACGGGAAATCAGCCTCGGATCAACCTTGGAAGCTCGAACTATAACGCTGAACTTTGTTGAAGAGGATGAGAAGCGCAAAGAGAATAAATGCCGTTGGAATATTCAGTGAGACACCCGTCACTGTATTTTGAGCCCGAGGAGAAAGTACAGCCGGCGTGAAGTCGTACATAAACGTGCTCAGAAAAGCAAACGATGATCTCGGAGCGAATGGTTCCCCCGTCAGCGGCTACGTTCCTGAAGCAAACGTAGCGGAGTGTTGCGTATCAGGAGAGGAAGGGCCCCCACCTGTTTCAGAGCGGCAGGAGACTCGCCTGAACGGGCTGCCTGCGCGGAGGGACGCGGCCGACGTCAGTAGGCGCGGCAGTTTTCTGACGTTGCTTTCCTCGACGAGAGAGTATCGCGCGTGACACGTTGACACCACATCTGTGTGTTTTGTCGCTCCAGCCTCATCTCTACGCTATTTATCCCTCAGACGGATTCAGCTTATCCACGGCCTCAAGCCACGCCGATCGATAGTGTCGTGAGAGCACCGACACAACCGCGCTTTAGTCCGCCAGTTCGCCCGCGGCAGTCCGCGTTATCCAGCTGAATCGTTCAGGTGAGCGTCATACTCGAGGAACACAGCGTGACACCTGAAGTTGTATCTCGGCGTGAGACAGTTTCTGCGATAGTTGAGGAGGAGGTGTCTCCTCGCCTCGGCTTCTGTCTCTCTGGATTTCAAAGTGGAGCGGAGTTGTCGGCTAAGAGGTGCGCGAAGTACCGTTTGCAGCGAAGTATCGCGAGAGAAACGTGGAGTACCGTTATTGTTGGCGTCTGTGAACGTGACTGAGAACGTGCGTGTGTGCGGTGACGGTGAAGCGACCGCGGAAAACCCGTGGACTTGACGCAGAATTCGACTCTGCCCCGCAGTTGTTGACAAATCGAATTGCGCGCAGGTGACGCGTGACTAGTCAGACGTGGATTCGCCTCTTTTCAGCGAGATAAACAAAACGGCCAGTCGACTCGCTCGGCGGTGCGAGATCGATTCGGAGGTGCGAAATCGAGAGAAACCGTTTGCTTTCGTATGACCCGTTCATCATTGGCGATTTGCGAGCGAAGCGCGGCGCGAATAGGTCGTTACTCTCACCGGAGACGCGGTCTCTCGATGAATCGCGAATTATCGCCGCGAATTGAGCACACGCGAGTCGAAGCCTCCCTTCCTCGGGGAAACGCGTGGAATGCGGCGACCGGCCTCGCAATAAAGTGGATAAATAAATGTTCCCTGATTTATAGTCCATAAACAATCGAGAGCTGACCGCAAAAAGCGTGCCACTGACGTAGCCTTCGTTGAATTTCGACTATTCTGACGTGATCGAAATCGATATGATTCCAAGGAAATTGTTTAAAGAGAAAGAGAGAGAGAGAGAGAGAGAGAGAGAGAGAGAGAAAGAGAAAAGGTCGATTGCTCTCGATCACCACTTTAAATCGACGATCCACAGTGAAACTCAACGATCAGCGAATTTCGTGCGACAACCCGAACCGATATTTTAATCCTACTTTCGACCTAAACTCTCTAACATCTGTACACTAAGAAGGAACCTAAAAAGTACATAAATATTTATTTATGTTGAGTCCTGATGCGTTTGCTTCAAATCTAAATCTAAATTCTTTTACTTAAATAAAATAAACAATTGCTTTCATGAAAAGTTAAGGTTTTCTGAAGATTTTCAGGAAATGTCTATTTTCTTACTCGAAAAAGATTCCATATTAATACAAGTAAATAAGTAATTATATCACACCCACTGAATATTTAATATACACAACTGAGGTCTTACTTGGCAAGTCTAATGGTAGAAAACGCATGAAATGTCGCTTATAGGTCTTACAGAAGATCGTACGACAGAGTTAATAGATTGAGTAGAATCAAAAGTGATCGATATAGGCTTCAGAGTATCAAGGCAAGCGTTGAATGGAATATTGAGGTCGAAAGAAGGTTCAAAATCTCGCGCGACAGCGCGATTCGAAGTCGCGTTTGAACCTGGAGGCACGTGGGCGCGCTTGTTGAATAAACAAATTGGAAGCGTTCGCCCGTCGCCGAATCGCGCAGGAACACAGCCGTTGCTTTCGTTTGCTGGTCGTTAATCGCCGGGAAATCAAGCATCGATTTCGTAACACGCCCGAGGTACCTACGTCGATGATGAAACTCGCGCTATGGTGATCGGTAAAGCGCGCACCATCTGCACGCGGCGTTGAAGCTCGCGAGTCGTGAGAGGAAATGATTCGACAATGAATCACCCACCTCTGACGGAGGATCCGCGCCCGTTCTTACCGCGATATAATAGATGATGACACGTGTAATATCGCAGCGTTATATTGTGCGTACACGAGCGCGCTTTGAAGAAGCGATGATGCGATAGGTCGTGTTCGTTATAGGAGAGTTCAGCATTATTCAGCCTGCCGATGAAGGAGCGGTATGGGTCGAACGGGCCAGAATGCCCTACTTTTCTAATTAATCGCTCATTGTGTCGTGACTCCGCGAGAGCTCCGGGTGAAGCGTGGATTGGACTAACCTTATGTGTGCCGACCAAATTACCTCTAATCCAATCAAACACCGTCGCTGAATCACCAGTCGTCACGCACTCGGCGATTATTAACGTTAACGACCAGATTGCTTCTCCATTAACGCGTTTCTCTCGTTATATCCGGAAATTTCTCTCCGTCTGTGCGCTCATGAGGAATATAAATTTTCTCGGGGCTTGCCTCTATCTGAGTTCCCTTTCATCTCGCGTGTTTTTCAATTCATCAAGAAATACGTGCGAATTTATTTAACGTGCGCGCGGGAGCGTACGACACGCACGGCGAGCGAGTTGTACTTGAGGAAATTTGTTGATTCAGCTGCATATAGTTTCTCCACTCGCCTCTCGCGCTGAACGACAAACAAAGACGAAGGCAGCAACCAAGGCCCCGCGTGTCCTGTGTGCTTATGGTGAATTTAATACGGAAACCTGTTTCTACTTTCACGACTGGCAAGAGCCGCGGTTTACGGGGCCATCTAAATATGGACACCGTAATGCAGACAGAGAGAAAGAGAGGCTGCCTGCACTGCTTCAAATAACATCGGGATTCGGCTCGCAATAATATACAAGCGTTTTATCGTCTGACCCAAAGCAACCGCGAATCTTGAGATAAGATGAGAAACGAAATAGATATTTGTTTAAATTACGCTAAGAGCAACAGGCGTCCTTAGTTAATACTTGCGTTTAACAATTCACACATTGACTGCCGTGTTAATTGTCATTGATACAAAGCATGAATTGATCGATCTCTCATTCCTTAAGCTTAAGTACACGGAGAAAATAGATTGTGCGATTTGACGTGGCAGTGAACGAAGCAACTTTTTGATTAAAGAGAACAAGATTTCTGATTCTGAGTAAAATTCAGTTCATTTTAAACAGCTATTAACTATTAGTTCAGTTATTTTAAACATCGCTGTTGATATACAAAGAAAAATGTTGCGTTGAATTAACATGACAATGAACGAAGCAAACACTTTTTGGTTGAAGGAAACCGAATTTCTAGTTCTTTGAACTGAATACGGTTCATAAAAACCAGAAATTCTGTTTCCTCCAACTAAAACGCGTTTGTTTGGGTTGAAGGAAACATATTTTTTTTTGTACATCTATAGCGCTATTGAAAATAATGCTAGTGAAAATAATACTAAAATGAGTACCGAAGAAAGAAACGCTTGGGTCCCGATGGAGGTATTCACATTTGAGAAACCAGTTTTCGATGGAGCTTGATTCGAGATCTCTCTGTCCGACAGGTCCAGGAGCGTCTCGAGGATCCACCGGCGCCCGTGGAGCCGGTATGCTCGTGTGTCTGTGACATCGTCGACGAGGTGTGCCACGTTTACCGCACCTCCGGTAACCCACACGCCCGAGAGCTGGTGAACCTCCTAAGCAAGTCACATCTCAGGGCACTCTTGGAGACGCACGACGCGGTGGTGGAACGCAGAGAAGCACCTGCCAAGCCGAATCCCCCGCCTGCAGTGACGATGCCAACAAACGAAAGAACAGAGGCCGTCAGGGTGGTCGGCCTCAGAAGGCAGTCGGATGAACCTTTGGTGAGTTATTTATAAATAGTGGTAAATACTTTATAAATAGTAGACAACGCGAGGGTAACTTTGCGTCACGGTGAATGAAGAGGGTTAAAATTGTCTTTGTCGTGGAGATCATCGTCTTGACAGAGACAGGAAGACCTTATCGATATCCGCGGCGAAAATAGCAGAACTTGCATAAGACACTTAACGAAGAGTCGTTCCATCGCAATAACCGCGAAGAACCAGAGAGTTCGGGACTGTTTGGGCGCGATTTGGGAGATTTATCGCGGGAGAATCTCCATTCTCACGCCGGTTGGCTCGCCGGTTTCGTCTAGAGACGAAAGACGGAAATGCCACTTGCAGAGTTCATAAATAAGTACGGATGTTTATTTCTACGGTGCGGCCACGCACGGTACCACGTGGCCCGGTGATTTTCTGGTACTGCGTGCTCCTCCGAGATAACACACCGAAATATAGTCGACGGTTTTCGACGATCGTCGTTTGACGCTTTATTTATCGAGGCGCGAGAAAGCCACGATGTCGCGCGCGCGCGAGCAAAGTGCACTTTACTCGTTTCGACGCGAAGACTCAGGCTAGCTGGAGATGAGACATTTGTTTTCACGTGTCCGTATTTCTTTCAGGGGCTAACGGTGCAGGTCGACGAGTCGGGCAACATGATCATCGCCAGGATTCTTGGTGGCAGCACGGCGGCTCGTCAGGGTCTCCTGAGAACGGGCGAGGTGATACTCGAGGTGAACGGCAAGCATGTGCGGAACCCGGAGGAGCTGCAGCGTGCGATTCAGGACGCCAAAGAGAATCTGTCTCTGAAACTCGCGCCGGGTATCGCGACGGACACAAACCGACCTGTCAAATCCACGGTGAGTGATTGCGAAGCGCTCGTGACGTTTGCTTTTCCACCTCGATGCCTCCAGTAACCACTAGGTTTTTGCTCTACTTCCTCTCTCGCGGTGTTTTCTGTCTATTGTCTATTCTGTTTACTATCTTTAAGCATCGCATAGCAAATCCACAGTGGTGAAGTAGGAAATTATAGTGGCTTTGCTGAAATCATAGTGACAATCACTCGATTTGATGTTACAGTGTTACATGAGAGCTCTGTTTGACTACGACCCTTCGGAGGACACGCTCTTGCCCTGCAGAGAGATAGGTTTGTCCTTCCAAAAGGGCGACATCCTGCAGATCGTCGATCAAGCTGATCCCAACTGGTGGCAGGCGCGCAGGGTAGAGGGTGAAGGTCTTGGGTCGCCTGGTTTGATACCCTCGTTGGAACTGGAGGAACGCAGGAAAGCCTTCGTGCCGCCCGAAGCCGACTTCGTTCACAAGATTAGCATCTGCGGCACTAGGATCTCGAAGAAAAAGAAGAGGAAGATGTATCAGTCCAAATCGAACGGCGAGTTCGACAGTGCTGAGTTACTTCTTTACGAAGAAGTCGCGCGAATGCCGCCGTTTCGGCGCAAAACCTTGGCCCTGGTAGGACCGCGCGGCGTAGGCCGACGAACCCTGAAGAACAGGCTGATCAACAGCGACCCCGAGAAGTTCGGCACTATTGTACCTTGTAAGTTCAAATATCGCTCGATTAAGTCCCTTAAAACGGACAGATTGTCAAGTTTCTCTTGAGTCTAAAGCCTGATCTACAATATGCTTTTTGCGTTCTGTTTCTTGTTTTCTATCTTTTTCTGGCTTAAAGCTTAAGATTTGAGTCAGAAAGAGATAAAGAAAAAGATGCAGGAAGCAAAGAATACATCAGGTTTTAGACGTAGCAATGATTTGGTTGTCGAAATACAGATCTCAACGAGATCTTTCTTTCCATATTCATCGATGATTTAAATCAAAAGAAGAATTCATGCCGAATGAGATAACTTTCGTTTCATTAGTCGAGAAAAGCGTGCACGTTTATCGTACTTAACGATCGTAATCTTTTCTTTAGACACGTCAAGGCCGCCCAGAGTCCTCGAAGAGGACGGTAAGAGCTACTGGTTTACCGATCGCGAGGCTATGGAGACCGATATCAGGGAGCACAGGTTTCTGGAGCACGGCGAGCACGGTGGACACCTGTACGGCACGAAACTGGACTCCGTGCGTGATTTGATCAGAGCCGGCAAGATGTGCGTGCTAGATTGCAGTCCAGCCGCCCTCAAGATCCTTCACAACAGCACGGAATTCATGCCTTACGTCATATTTATCGCCGCGCCCGGCATGGAACAGCTGAAGTCCCTGTACGATCTCGGCAGGTCGACCGGTGCAAGCAGTCGGAATTTAACGGTAATCTGTCGCCAAACTCACTTGTGTTTTATGCAAAATCACTTTTCCCCACATCCGTGACATTTCTGTGCCCTATTCTCTTTCAAGCTCCTCTATGTCGCTCCCTATGTGATGCTAGTCACTTACATGCAACTACCTTACTCTTATTCGCATTCAGTTTGAGTTGTATTCAATCAGTTTAGTTAATTCGTTGTATAAATTTGATGTTGGCTTCGCTAGTTCGACCGCCAGAGTTCCATCAGATACAGCTCGAGGAGAGCCCGGACACTGGAGTCCCTCGCATCTCTATACGAGGTTTGTATTGCATGACTCGAACAATGAATGTGAAACAATACGCTTGCGTTACGTTATGCACTTCTCTTCGATCCTCCAAGTTATGCAATAGTAGTTCTCCACGTAGCGGCGAATTGTAGTTCTTCGATGCGGCACGAGTCTACATAGTAGTATCGTCTCTCAGCTATCAGAACGCCGTAGTACCATTAGTGGCAGATTAACCATATTGCAGTATCGCACGCGACGTTCCAATTCGTAGAACAAAATTCCACGACGCCGCGTGACGGAAACCACAAAAAAGTCGGCTTTCCTTCATCGCGGAGTGACGGTAATTTGAGTATTGTTGTCGTTGTCGCGTTGACGTCGATCATAGATTACGCTTATCCGAACACTTTTACAACTGATAATTATATTGCAAATGTAAACGGGAAACAAGTTACGTTCGTGGTTTCGACAGAGACTCATAACGCACCGCCTGTAGCGTGAAGCGACTGTTGCGCGAAGCACTCTTAGAAGAAAGATATTCTAGGCAATGAGATAATGCGAACAAACGATTAATTGATCATCCATCTGGTAACAGGAGGACGATCTCAAGTCCACCCTAGAGGAATCCGCTGCCCTACAGAGAGCCTACGAAAAATACATCGATCAGGTGATCGTGAACGAGGACTTTGATCACACGTTCAGACAGGTGATCGCTGCTCTGGACTCCTTAGCTACTGAGCATCAGTGGGTGCCGGTGAATTGGATCTACTAATCAGTTTTCGTATGCAGCATTTGACGAAAGAATGCGCAGCCTTGTAGCTTGGAACTCCAACATATGCGAGAATTATATATATATATATATATATATATATATATATATATATATATATATATATATATATATATATATATATATATATAT